TAATAATGATGATGGTGATAGTGATGATGATAATGTTGGTGATAGTAATGATGATGTTGATAGTGATGATAATGTTGGTGATGTTAATGATGATGTTGATAGTGATGATAGTGGTGTTGACAATGATTGTGTTAGACGTGATGATGATAATGTTGGTGATGTTAATGATGATGATGATAGTGGTGTTAACAATGATTGTGTTAGTGATGATGATAATGTTGGTGATGTTAATGATGATGGTGATAGTGATGATAGTGGTGTTGACAATGATTGTGTTAGTGATGATGATAACGTTGGTGATGTTAATGATGATGGTGATAGTGATAATAGTGGTGTTAACAATGATTGTGATGATGATGATAATGTTGGTGACGTTAATGATGATGGTGATAGTGATGATAGTGGTGTTGACAATGATTGTGATAGTGATGATGATAATGTTGGTGATAGTAATGATGATGGTGATAGTGATGATGATGATGTTGGTGATAGTAATGATGATGTTGATAGTGATGATAATGTTGGTGATGTTAATGATGATGGTGATAGTGATGATAATTGCGACAGTGATGATGGTGGTTGTGATACTAATGGTGATGGTGTTGATGATGGCAATGATAATTCTGATTAAAAGAATAAGACAGAACTAGTATGGTGTATGATTACTATTCTTCAAATATTTCTGCCAAATCTTAATGGGAACATATTTGTTTTGTCTAGGAGGAATCTTGGACTGCAGTTGTTGATCCTAAATGGATAGAGGTAATTTGATGTTGCAATATGTTATATATTGTAAGAAAACAGAATAAATGAAGCCGAATAGCTTATTATATGTAGATCTAGTGTGTCTTTGTAGGTCAAATTCTTGATTGTTTTAAATTAATATCTTATTGGCCTAATAATAAATTTTGTTGAGCTTTCATGCCATTCTGTAAAACACCCCCCCCTCCCCCCCGTTCCCCCCACCAAGAAGGATTTTGGAATCCAAGGGCTGAGGTACAAGGTCAGAGGAAAATGACATAGTTCGCATGGACAGAAATTGGAATTTCCAAGGGTAGGAGGGTCTTAAATCCTTTGTTGGGGGGGGGGGAGAAACTTGATAAAGTTGGCCTATTTTCTTATTTTGCCAGATTCCAAACCAACTTTCATCAGATTTCAATTTACAATTTTCTTAACCTATTTTGATCCACCCTGGTACTCCCTATTGATGTGAGGAAAATCTGATTATGTTTACATGATTTTTTATCATTATTTGTCAAACTCATTAATAATTCATGAGGAAAACACAACAGAAATCACGACCGTGAAGAGTGTTGTAAATCTGATACAAAATTGTGTTCATTTGCATAAACTTTAAGATGGATTTTCTTGGCCAGATTCACTTTAATTTTGAAAATTTTAGATGTTTGACAAGCAATCTACAGTATTTGTGTCCGTGTTGTATCCGATATACATATAGTTTATGTATCTGATACAACACGGCCACTGTATATATTACCTAATATTCGAATTATATATATTTTAAAGAATATGACCAAGAAGGATAAAGACCAGCAAGAAGCAACTTGGGAGTTATTAAGTACAGAAGTTACATACATACATAAGATTAGCATTGTAAAGAAGGTTAGTAGCATATCTTAGTAGACATGTGTAGCTAGTAAAAGTCAGTCTATAACTACTAATGGTAGAAAGAGAGCAGAACCCAGAAAAATATTGAAACACCCTCTGGGCTGATCAAGAGCAGGGTACAGCTAACTCACCGATTGATACCCTGAAACGACCCTCTGGGCTGTTCAAAGGCAGGGTACAGCCAACTCATGGATTGATACCCTGAAACACCCTCTGGGCTGATCAAAGGCAGGGTACGGCTAACTCAGATTGATACCCTGAGACACCCTCTGGGCTGATCAAAGGCAGGGTACAGCTAACTCACGGATTGATACCCTGAAACACCCTCTGGGC